GGGAGGAGGAGGGGCATATGCTCGAAAACATCCTGATCATGCACTGTAGATTATGGATTGATTCATACCCCATTTGTCACTCCTTCTTTAATGAAGCAATATCAGGTCAATTTATTTTCCCCAGCAAGATGTTGAACATTTGTAGCGTGAGCAGACTTTGATGGTTGTGGAGCAAAAATGTAAACGGTGACCTGGTTACATTAGCATATTTCCATGGAAAAGTAAGAAACTTTTTCGCAGTGATATGATTATAAACATGAGGTAGACAAAACAGGTCACAAGTTGCAAGTTGCCACACGCAGCATTTTTTGAAAGAAATTAGACCCTCTGGGTCCATAAACTTCATGCACCTTTTTACCATATGAAGGCGGCGTTTGCGCTTCAGACACCAAGCAGCTTCCCCATAGGAGCACAATAAAACTCAGACACTCTACATGAGCAGCAAGACCACCACTGGGTGGACCTTGATGGTTCCCGCATTCCATCTCTAAAAACAAGATTTCTGCAACATCCTGAGCATCCTGCTTGCTCAGGAGCTCCACTGTCAGAGAAGCAGCTCCTTTCTCTAATTTCTCCTCTGCTCTAGGTTTCCTCTGCTGTCCCTGAAATATTCTCCTCCTCCCTGATGCTGTAAGCATCCCCCTGAATTTGTTTGGCGATTTTTTACTGTATATATGCATCAGTGTGAATACATGCAATGCATTAGATATCTGTTACCAGTGGCAACGGGCTTACAATAAGCTCTCTTTCAAGTTCTGTGCTGAATGGGAGCTTTAAGGTTGTAACTTTATAGTACTTCTAAGGGGGATTGCTACTTTAGTGCTCTTACTGAATGCACTTTGCTTAATTGCCATCAGAATGGTTGGTATGCAGCTACCCTGAGCAAAGGAGCTAAAGTACTTTAGTGCATGTCTCTAATGAGTAAAAATAATAATAATTAAAAAAGTACGTGGTTCATCAAACTTGAAAGGGTAATTTGGGGGTGTTGGTTCTTTGGAGGAGAAAGAGAAAAGCTTGATTTGACTAAAAACCTGTGCGGGTTTTAGATTATGTAACCCTTTAAAACATAATTTCCATCAATTTTTAAAGGTTTCTTTTTTTCATTGTGAAATATAGAATAGCTGATCAGTTTGGCAAGATCACTATTATTTATCACCTAAAATAATTTTCCAAGTTTCACGAACATTTTCTCATTTTCTCTCTTACTATTAAGGGATAGAATATGGTTATTTTTTACAAGTTGACTTGTCTCTCTGTCTTCGATTTTGCACAAGACCCAAGTCTAATTCGCTACCACAAAAGAAGAGGAACTGTGTAAGCAAAGCCATTACTTCCTCAAACATTATAAAACATAATTTCTTTGATTTGCTTTATAACATTAAAATGGTACCAAAATACATTGCTGACAATGTATACCAGAACCAAATGAAAATTGCTGAAACTATTTGGCAATTCTCATCTAATTAATTGAATTTGATAGTGCCTTTTTACCCTTACTATATTACATAGTGTGAGAAAACTTGAATAGACCTTTATTTTCATTGAATGTAACTGGATTTTGTCTTCTCAGAATTAATGACAAAGTACTTGGTAGCTAGAATAGCAAGAGGATTGGGCTCAGTGCTTTTTAATTTTTGTAGATACTTCTAATCTGCATGATTTAACCTTACATTTGGAGCACAGTCCATTTACTTATCCAAAAGATCATGTGCTTGTTATTGTTGAATGTCACCATTGTTGCCTTTAAAATAACTTAGTATATAAATGGAAACCAAATTATTCTTTCTGTTTTCCAGATTGACAAATGAGAAACTACTCCTTAATTTTGAAAAAAAAAAAAAAAGCCTTGGTGTGTTTCATTATGTAATGGGAGATGGTGATGGCTTTTTCAGCAGAATGTATCAAATTGATGGGCTCAGGCTGGTGACCCTTTGGGTTAAGATATGCCAGCTCTGGCAGGGCACTGGACACTTACTGGCAAACATTAAAATAGGTAATGACTTCCTTCTTTTAATCCAGAAAGACCTCAGTGAGATTCATCTGGTGTCATAACACCGGCCAGAGAGCAGCTTGAGCAATTAACATGTTTTTGATATGAAGCTTTCAGAAGTTGGCTCAACTAATTTTCACACATGCTGCTGCTGTGAACCAGTTCTAACTATAGCTTGTAAATTAAATCAGTGTGTTAAGGTTAATCGATTCAGGATTTGCTCATGAATGCAGTGTGTTGGCAAGGCACAAACATAAACCAAAGGGCAAGGAGGACATACCACAGTTGCATAAACAGTGGAGATTTTAAGACTTCATTAGTTCTTCCGTACTAAATGTGTTGTAAGAAAAGTCTTGTACCAGTGGTGAAAAATAGGGACACATCAAGACAGTTGAGAGGAATCAGAGAATCATAGAATCAGAGAATAGTTAGGGTTGGAAAGGACCTTAAGATCATCAAGTTCCAATCCCCCTGCCATGGGCAGGGACACCTCGCTCTAAACCATATCACCCAAGGCCTCGTCCAACCTGGCCTTGAACACTGCCAGGGATGGAGCATTCACAACCTCTTTGGGCAACCTATTCCAGTGCCTCACCACCCTAACAGGAAAGAATTCCTTCCTTATATCCAATCTAATGTTCCCCTCTTTAAGTTTTAACCCATTACCCCTTGTCCTACCACTACAGTCCCTAATGAAGAGACCATCCCCAGCATCCCTATAGGCCCCCTTCAGATCCATGTCCTTTTTATGTTGAGGACACCAGAACTGTGCACAATACTCCAAGTGAAGTCTCACGAGAGCAGAATAAAGGGGCAGGATCACCTCCTTCAACCTGCTGGTCACACTCCTTTTGATGCAGCCCAGGATATGGTTGGCTTTCTGGGCTGCAAGCGCACACTGCTGGCTCATGCTCGTTTTCTCATCGGCCAGCACCCCCAAGTCCTTCTCCGTAGGGCTGCTCTGAATCTCTTCTCTGGACATGGATCTTTTGGAACAAGTCCAGAGGAGGGCCACAAGGATGATCAGGGGACTGGAGCACCTCCCACATGAAGATCGGCTGAGAAAGTTGGGGCTGTTCAGCCTGGAGAAGAGAAGGCTGCGTGGAGACCTCATAGCAGCCTTCCAGTATCTGAAGGGGCCCTATAGGGGTACTGCGAATGGACTCTTCATTAGGGACTGTAGTGATAGGACAAGGGGTAATGGGTTAAAACTTAAACAGGGGAAGTTTAGATTGGGTATAAGGAGGAAATTCTTTCCTGTTAGGGTGGTGAGGCACTGGAATAGGTTGCCCAGGGAGGTTGTGAATGCTCCATCCCTGGCAGTGTTCAAGGCCAGGTTGGACGAGGCCCTGGGTGGTATGGTCTAGTGTGAGGTGTCCCTGCCCATGGCAGGGGGTTTGGAACTTGATGATCTTAAGGTCCTTTCCAACCCTAACTATTCTATGATTCTATGACTGATGTTGAGTGGCTTTGAGAACTGTGTTGTAAAAGCTGTTTGTCATACGTAGGTATCTGTATACTCACTCAGTTTGATTCACTGACACCCAATCAAAAAAGCAGTATCACCCACAGCTGCAATGCAATTGTGCCAAGGTGAGTTGTAATCTCAGGCTTTTCCTTCTATATTCAATAGTACTTAGCAGTAAGCACTTGTCCAGCTTTAGTTTGGAGCTTTATCTTAGGAAATGAAAGAGACATGGAGAAGTTTGGAGTAAGGTCTATGTTATCCCATCAAATTGCCCTCATGGATTAATTATACAGCAGAGATGTGGTAGTTCATACCAGTAGAGTAGATCTATACTGTAAGATAATTCCCATGCATTTATATCAAATGTGCCAAATGATGATCCCTTTGCATGTATAGTTTTCCTTTTATGGATTTTCCATGTGTAAATCCATAACAAGCAAACATGTAGGTACTTAAATTGCTAACTATAGTGCTGACTGTAAAACTGCAAAGATGCAACTACCAGACTTTTTCCAGGAAACTCCTGTAGCAGGTGAAAACAATGACGGAAAAATGAGAACGCTTGAACCTCTCTGCAAGTTTATCCTATGTCACTGACAGTAGCAACAGAAGCACATAAAGGTATTGCTTTCTTTAGGTAGCAGGATCTAAAACCTGTGCTTTCTATGCTAGATGGGAGAGAGTATTCTGGGAACAGATATGCTCCTTCCCATCACCATGTAGGTTGAATGGCTTGTCAGTTTGGATGTTTTAACATGGTTATACTTCTAAAGTAGCTCACTGATGTGTCTTGCATCTTTACTAGGGGTCTCATAATACTTAATGCTTTCGTTGACCTGTTTTCTGGTGCCACAACATCATGCCAAAATCTCAGTTTTATCTGCAAGGTGGATTTTTTCTTTGGTGTTGTAGAAAAGGCCTGGAAAGTAAAACTTGAATGAAGCTCAGATGTGAAAAAGTGAGCAAATAAAAAAAAGTTTTATTTTAAAGCCAGTGTTATAATTTTGGAGCAGAAAGTGACTTATGGCTTTTAGTGGCTCAGACTTGTAATTTAATGAACAAAATAAATCATTACAAGTGCCTGGAGAAGTGCATAGCAAAACAAGGAGAGTGCTGAACCTCAGACAAACAATTTCACTGCTGGACCTGCCACTTTTGAACAAGTGCCTCCCAGCCAAATTGAATGGAATCAGTTTAAATTAAGCAAAAATCCTATCAAAATTAATAAAAGTCAAGTCTTATTGGAAAATTGTACTTGGAGGAGGTGGTTTAACAAATTTACCAATAAATTTAGCAGGAAAACTCACCACTGGCTGCGTTAACATAACAGCTAGTTGTGCTGGCTTTTCAACTTTGAAGTGCAAATCCAGCATTTAAGTCAGGGATACTCCTGGGGCTTTCAGAGGCTGCTGCCTTCTCAGCATGATTTGATTGATGAGAATGAGACAGGTAGCAACTGTGTTCTATTGAAAAATTCCTTATCTGTAAGTTTATGGGCAGAACTGGAATTTGATGAATTTCAGGTCATGGCACAAAGGCATTTCTTTCCCTACATTTTTGGCTTTTAGAAACATACTTTCCAACAACAGGCAATTTGATTTGTATGTTCTACTCTTGATTTAGCTAGCTCATTCTGATGGCCAGAGATTTTACGAAAAACAAGTTTTCCCACAATCTCCCAATTTCTGCGTGTCACGGTAACCAATGGCACTAAATAACAACACTGTCTAAACACTTTCGGGACCAGATTGTAGCTATGGACAAGGGCCAGTACAACAGTGAAAGGAAGTTTTGCAAGGGCAGTTTAGCAGCAGATAGTATAAAAGGTATCCTTGAAACAAAGTAAAATAACTATAACAGGTACAACAGCAGTTACTGAAACAGACCTGTGCTCTGCATGCAAAAAAACCCCAACAAAATAAAGAAGGTACAGCCATTGCTCAGCTAAAAATTCCTCCAGTATGTGAATATCTTTTCTGCCTCAGAAAGTGAAGATTCAGTCCTATAGCAGTAATGAAGTATATTCTCACACAGAGATGAATTTTAAAGAAACCATGCTGAGATTCCTGGCCAAGCATGGATTCCAGTCTGGATAAGGAGATGTTGTCTCCCTCCTGATCTGCATGATGGCTTCATTTCATGAACACATGCCTTGAATTTTCCTCAGTCATGTTGCATGAAGGGTAATACTAATTGAATGCTGAATCTTGAATGAGACTGATACTTTCACCCATTGCCTAGCAATATCATGATATTGCCATGAATCACATAGCTGGTTTTGGACAAAGTGTAATTTCAGAGACTGTGAGACAGGCAGTGAGGGTCCTTCTCTCCTCTCCATTGTGACTGGTCCAAAAGTGCTCTGGGGAACACACCCTGGAAACTTCTGGTCATTGGTGGTAGCTGCAGTGTTCTGGCATTATGGATGACGCAGCAAAAGGCCATATGGGAGGACAGTAAGCCTGTTCCATGGTCAAAGGTTCATACACAAAGAAGTCAGACTCATGTTTGCTGTAAAATGGGAACAGTGTTAGATGGTTGCTGAATGGCATTGCATCATCAGCTTAACAGATCAGTGCCAACTACATGATGGCTGTAGATGGGTCTAGCTTTCTTCTGAAAACTTAGAACAGTATGGAAATAAAGACTTTCCTGCAAGGGGTGATACTGGAATGCATTATCAAAAAGCATTGTGGTGGCAAGTAGTAGAGATAAGGCACCTGCTTTTTGTTATCTGCGTCTGAGGGGCACCTGGGAGCAACAGGAAAGTCCAGAAAGTTACTTGTATACATTTTATAATTAAGGGGATAATGATGTGATCTGGAATTAATGTTTGGAAGTTATGTGGCTAGGGAAGCACTTTAGAATTCATACCTTCGAGTATTTGATTGCTGTAGAGGAGCCTGCTTTTCTGGCATGCCACATATATTTGGTGTATGAAGAAATACAGAACAGTTTGACCTTGAAGCAATTAATCTCTTCTGAGGCACATGGGTTTTGAATGGATGTAGACATAATTAGAATTTTTAAATTACACAAGGCATGCTCAATCTTTCCATCAGTGCATAGCAGGAACAAAACAGAGGAAGGATCTCTGTGGGAGAGAAAAGTACTCCTACTTTCTACAAAAGACATCTTCCATGTCTGGGAAGAGGGAATTCTCTGAATCTCAGCTCTCCTTAATGCAATTTGATACAAGAGACTGTAAATGAGTAAGGAGAAAGCTGATGATAGTGTCTTATCCTGGCATCATATCTCACAGATTTAGCAAAAGGAGAGCCAGATATCAGTCATAGTACCGCTGCTGAATTTATAGGAAGTTTTGGAATTAATATTTTTACCTTTTCTAGAGAAAAATGTTAATTCCAAGTATATCTATAAATTTCCACTGTGTTTACCAAAAGTAAAAAAAAAAAAAATTCACATAAAGCTTTTTGTTTGTTTGAAAACCAATATTGTGTACAATTGTATAAATAACACAATAATAAATTAAGAAAATAGTATCCTGTCATAAAGCTAGCATGGAAAAACTCCAAGAATTCATCACCTTAGACATCCACATAAAGCAGGACTAAGTGGGCTGATATCAATGGCATGAAATAAAGAACAAAAACAAGATCAGAAATGTACCGTGATCAAGCAAGGGGAAGGTAGCGAAGACATGTGTCTATAGGAATTGACTTTCACTTAAGGTCTATATCAAATAATATGGTAAGAAAAATCCTCACTGGTTTTTAGAATTTTTTTCCTCTCCTCTTCAAAACACTTTGGCTATTCATTATTGGTTTGGATATTCTTAGTAAGTGCTACAACTAAGATCAAATGTAATTCGAATTCTAACTGTTCTTTCAGAAGCTTACAAATTTTCAGACAAAATTCTTCTTGAAAAAACATGTTCAGGTACTTCTATTTTGCATTTAAATTGCAAAGTTTGGGGTTTTTTTTCTGTAAATTATAATCCAGTAAAAAATGTGATTTGATTTAGCAGCAGCAAATTCAGACTTACTCTAAATGGGGACCCTGTTTTATACCACACACATAACAGGCTGGTCTTGATTCCAAATGTAAGTTTAAAAGAAAACAAATACTAAGATTAAAACCAGGATATTGCAGATAAATAAATACTAATTGAAATCAATAGAGGCAGATTAATTTGCATCAAATCAAGTTCCAGACTATAGTCTGAAGACCCACAAATAGGAAAATAAATAGGCACCAACATTTTTTCCCCAAAACTACCTTTCTGAGAGTAACCGCAGTACCTAAACACTCTTAATTTAATCATTCACTGGAGGATGTTACAGGTAAGTGCTCATAATAAACAGTAGGTGTTTCCCTGAAGGCCATGATAGTTTGCATAATGTGCTAGCTATTTATTTTCCAGTGTTATGGTGACAGTAAACTGTTACAGTACAGCTAACTCTAATGAGAAGTTTTATAAATGTCTTTTGCTAATAAGAGGTCTTGTTTAAGTTCTCAGTTTCAGAGGTTAAAATAATTCAGCACCACCAGTACAGCCACTGCTGTTACATATGAACCAATTCCTCTTTGTTTAATTAAATTTTATATGTTCTAATCTATTTATAGATGGAGACTTTGAGAGCCCTGCAGCTGGAGCAGATGTGGCTGTTATTGGAGGTAAGTAGCAGACCATACTAAGCATTACCATTAGAATTAAAACAGCGGGTTGGTTGATTTCTTGCATTTTGCAAAACCCCTACTTTGCTGACAAAACAACAGGAGCAGCACAATTAGAGTTAATTAGGCCAGTGGGAAATCTGCTCCCAGAAGGGGCTATTGGCAAGATAATGAGATGAGATAATGAGCATAAACCATATACTGAGCAGTACCACCCCATCCATTCCTAATTTTAGGACAAAATGCTTTACAGTCCAGCAGCAAAGTCAGACTCTGATATTCTTCATTATTCAGTGGGCCAAAATTGTCATTTAACACAGGACTGGTATAGCAATTTTGATTCGAGCCGTGCTAGCTCATACCAGCTGACCCTTTATTGAAGCAGAACATACTACAGTGAATTTTCTGGTGTTCCATTAAAGCTCTCTCATGCATTTAAACTAAATACAGTTGTCAGAATAAATGAACAAAGCCATGTTCACGGAGAGAACCTTTTTATTTTTATTGTGTTTGTTCATTTCCATGCTAACGCACTAATTTCAGTCATTCACAAGGGGGTACACCATTCATTAGTGCAAATTGGTGACTTTCTGCTATATTTCCCTCAGGTCCCATCTCCCGTAACTTTAATTTTGGCTTTCTATGAACAAGTAGCAGGTAAATTGATTTGTACTTTGTCCCTTAGGCTTATTAATATTGTGCTACATCCAAAGCCTATTAAAGCCTCTTGTGTCAAGGGATACCAGTGAGGTCCTAAAAGTTGATGAAGCCCCCACTGCAACTAAGATATTATTCTAAACCTAAAGTTCTTTGTATTAGCAATTTCATTTCTGCCAGCAGTAACTTCACTTTCCAGAACCAAGAACCTGAAAATCTGTAGTATAACATTGCAGGCATATTTTTTTTAGAGAGTTATCATTTTTATTTACTCCATTAATATTCTGTCCATTCCTGTATTTTGATGCCAATAGGGTATTCCCATTCAGTTTACTGATGCTGATAAATCTAAAGCTTTAGAGATACCCACTCCTGCCACAAATCGTGAGCACAGGAGACAGCAGAAAGATACTGTCTGCATAACCCTCATTGTCTCTGCACAATAGTAAATATTTCCAGGGATCAATTTGTCTGATCAAGCATAAGAATTCAATTCTGGAAGAGAAATCACCCTGCACACACACACAGCATCCACTGACAGCAGAGGAAGCCCAAGGTAACCCAGATGAAGCTTCCTGAACTGTAGCTGCCTACAATAAATCAAATGAATTCCTACCTATTGCATCATCATTCCATCTTCATACTCCACAAATGGGATTTTCTTAGGAATGTCCTTTTCTGGTGTGTTTTACTATGTGTTTCATTAATGTATGGTTTACTCCTGGAGTCATGTGAATATAGAATCAGTTCAGTATAATGTACAGAGTCACAGCTAAAGTGTTTGTAAGTACATCCCAGGTGTATGCAGTGTTAAAAAAAATGAAAACCACACAAATTGAATAAACTTCAAAATATTTCATTTATTTTCAGGATCCTTAACTGAACAATTTGATGGGGAAGGAAGGGGATACAGCTTGTAATTTTTTGGACTTGTCAGGGGTGCCACTCTTCATTTATGGACACCTTTCACAGTAGAACAGGAAAAAAGGAAAGGACTCTGGAAAGCAAGGACACACGATGTTCTCTGCACAGCCACTCCTGGAACTTGTATTTACTTCACTAGGACTGCTTCCATTCACTATTTAGGCCTATGCACATGTGAGTTACCTATGGAAATTTTTGGCCAGTCAACACATTGCTAGTAATTAGCCTTGGTCCAAGAGATAGGAAGGATCTACCCAGAATCCCTCCTCCCAGGTGTCACTTCCACATTCATTAAAATCAGACTTCCTTAATTAGAGCACAGCATGAAATAGCAGCTTGCAAATGCATAACAGTACTGAAGTCACCTGGCTCCTGCTGTTTGTTGAATATCTCCTAAGAAATACATAACGCTCTGTACCGCCCCTGAAATTGAGTACACCTGAGCAGGCAGGGTTGGGTTGCCTGCAAACTCTCCTGGGTATATGTTACAGAAGGATGAAAGAACTCTATTGTGTTTTCTTTATGTTCTTATATTTCTCCTCATTTTGTAATGAATTTTTAGTGAGTTCAACCAAAGCAAGCCATTGATTTGAAGAAAGCTAGCAAGAATTTGATTTGCATTCCTTCAGTATCTATATCCCATTTTGTTTTTTCAGTGTCAGACTCTGTTCTGACTTTGGCCACTGCAACATGCAGATGTTTATGATACGTAGGCTTTTCCTGATCAAGTAATTCAAGTTGTGCTGTCTGGCTGTGAGATGCTGCTTGTATTTTATTACTGGGAATACAATTAACTGGTCTTCCTCTTCTAGGTGTGATTGCTGCGGTAGTATTTGTCCTCATCTGCCTGCTGGTAGTGATGGTCCGGTACATGTATAGACATAAGGGCACCTACCACACCAATGAGGCAAAAGGAACTGAGTTTGCTGAAAGTGCAGATGCTGCTTTAAAAAATGACCCCACTCTTCAGGAAGCAGTGGATGAAAGCAAAAAGGAATACTTCATCTGAGAGGCAAGGATTTCCATGAAGACTTCCACAAGTGAATCAGTCAGAAATGCTAAATCAACAGAAGTGCTAAGAAATGGATAATATGAGGATACAGGCAAGCATCCTAGTTGAAAAGTATCTCTACTTTTTGTTGTCACTGGGTTGTTTCTTTTCCTCTACCAGTGAAGAACTAAAAGCCAGATACTTGCCTGTTGATTTTATTAGCAGCACAGCTTGTCACAGTTGAAATCAATATCAAATAGAAGAAACAATATCTCAGTATGAATGATACACCAAAACCAGATAAAGATAGCAAATGTCAAGCCTTGCAAGTTAATGATGCATCCTATGCTGATATGATACTACCTGAAATTGAATTTCAAATGGTCACAGAACAAACATTAAACTAGATAAAGCTGATGTAGCTGGAACAAAAACAGCTTTGTAGACTAAATATCTTACTCTTCCCCTTAAATGTTCAATTTTATTGGCACAGGGGAATCTGTTTTGTTTGTCTGAGGATTTAGATTGGTTTTTTGTTGGTTTTTTTAATTTTACATGTGTAAAAATCAAAGACACTTCAAGGAAATAAAACTGTTGGAAAACGGGAAAGGTAATAATGAAGGATTTATTTCTTGCAGCTTGAGAACTGCAAAAGGTTGGAATTTGCAATGTAGTATGTAATATTCAGTAGACTTACAAATATGATTCCAATTAGTTGGTAAGGTCCCTGCATGTGTGCATAAATAGGTAGATATTAAAATGTAAAACAGCCTGGTTTGAGCAGGCCGTTTGAGATGATGAAGCTCAGCTAGATATTTTCATGTAAGATATTTTTGCCTGAGTATTTATTTATTTATTTTGCATTGGAAAATTCTCTTGAATGCCCACCAGCAGGATTTTGGATTTTTGCAGAGAGAGGAATTCAGTTCTGGTGCAGATACTGATGCATCTGTCACAAATGCAACCATAACTACAAAGAAGCTTGTTCATCTGCACCCCACTGGCTGGTATTGATGTCTCCCTCTGTATGGCTTCTGTATATGCTTTACATTCTGCTAGATAAGTCAATTACACTGATCATCGATGCTTTATTATAAATAAATAATTAGTCTATCACATGAAAAGATTATATTCCTCATCTAAGAGTCAACAGTGATGAGTTCCTTTACCCCATTAAGTTGGCTTCCTAATTGAAGACCACAGTTAGCTCCAGAAGTAGGATAATTGTTCTCTGCACCTGCTCATCCCCAGCTGTGATGGTTCCCTGAACTGCTGAAAATAGAGGCAGAGAAATACAAGATATTAGATAAGACATTGATGAGCTCTGCTCAACTCAGTATGCTTTTTCCCATATTTTGCTTTCTATATGGGTATATATAAAGTCATCTACAGCTGTGCTTGAGACATTGTTGCTGATCACTTGTACTCGATTCTCTTCACCAAAGCTGGGAAAGCTTCTGGACTCCAATATTTACTATGGACACTGGCCACACGAACGCTGTAAGAAAAGAAAGATATGAACAAGAAAAGACTCTTGAGAACCCAAGTGACGAAATGGGATATTTTTGTCTTTCAATAGCAATTTCAGTCTTTTCTCAGTACCCAAAGGATATGTAATCTGAATTATTCTTAGAATCTTAAATCCCTGCATTTGCATTTTTACCAAAGAATACCAATATTGTGCCAAATCTACTAAATGCTTTTGTACAAATCTACTGAATGCATTGTACAACCACATTATATTCTGTGACTCTTGCAGTATAAAATGCACAAAACCCAGCATTTGCAGAGCTCAAATATTTTGCTGTTATGTACCTGTTTCCTTCTAAGATACATTAATACTTTACTCTTTTTACTATTTTTGAAAAAGGAATCTGGTTTTATCTTTCTAGCACAAGCATTAGAGAAATTCAATAATCTTAGCTGTAAGACTGAGTTTTTAAAACTGAAAACCCTGAACCACCAGTTCAATAAAAATGCAAGTATTTTCTCTGAAAGAAGGTGAATGGGGTGAATTACTTTCTGCTGCATCTCCCACAGAAGTCATGGGAACACCAAAAAACTTTCCTCCAGTGACAGCAGGACCTATAGAGTACTATCAGCCTTTTGTCCCCTTTCATACACTCATAACCATGTAATGATATTTTGGTTGTTAAAGAAAATTGACTTCAGAGGAATTCCTGCCTCTCTCTCCAGTCATAAAATTCTGATTTTTGCAACTTGAGCTTGCTGATTATAATTAGACAACTGTGTCATGCCTGAAACAAAGGAGAACCAGATTTAGTGTCTCTTTTGGGGTGTGTGGGAGTTTTTTAATTGTGAGGCGAGCTCAGACAAACTAGCTGTCCACATTGTAACTATAGAGGCCAGATTTTCTGGTGGTACAATGTGAGTTCAGTCAAGCTCAGCCAACCTTACTAGTTCAGTCAACACCAATCTTTGTGTCATCGCTTCCCCTAAATCCGAACTGAATGCAACTAGTGGTCTTTGACTATATCCCCTCTTAATAGCTTAATTAAATCTCTTTATCCCATTTTCCCTATTCATCTAGGCTGACAAACAGTCCAAGCATATAGCAACAGTTTCCGTATTGGTAAGGAGCCACTTTGAATGTCTGTAGAGCAGTGACTCTGGCAAGAGCTATAGTTTCAATTAGATTTGGGTTGTTTTTTCCTTTTTAAAGTGTCCTTTTGAGTTCCAGGGGTTTGAATATTTAGAAATAACTCAAGAACACTGAGCAGAGAGAGGAGATGGTGCGTGGAGATTTTCTGTTTATTTGGGTTTTTTCAGGACAAATTTTGTTTCGCAATGGAGAAAGCTCATGACATCTGATGACTGGCAAACTCTAATGGCCTCATCCTGCTATTTTTTACTCATACAGTAACTCTATTGTCTTGAATCATTTAATTTTAATTGTAAAAAAAGTGAAGTACAAACTTCCTATAACTTTCAGGACTAATCCTTCTGCAAGCAACAGGCTGTGCTAAAACAAACGTTATGTACAATGCCAAGACATCTCAGTTGGCAGCCATAACTTTTCATCACTGATGATTAAATAAGTTTTACAATTTGCTTCCTGAAAAAGAGAATTAAGGAAACAATTTGTTTCCCCCCACCCCATACTTTTATCCAAGGTCCCTCCACTGCAATGGCCTGTTGGCCTGCCACTTGCTGGTGCTCCATTTCCTCAACCATGACTGCCATTTTTGCTTGCAGTCCCCCAGGTTCCCATCTGGATCCCTATTGCCTTTGCTATGGCAAAGGATTGGCCATTTACCTATGTATTTATCTATCTATTTTTATTAATAAAGTTGCTCTGTTGCCTTAACATTTGGAACTCAATTTCTTTTAATTTTTGGGGCATACCTGCACAGTCTTCCTCTGCACAAAAATGAGTGCTTGACAGTCTCAGTCCTGTAGCAGCTTTACTGTTCAGCGGAGTAATTCTGCCCAAAAGCAGTCAGTCCCAAACGTGTATCTGGCCACACATTACTGGATCTAGTACACATTTTTTTCTGGTGCTTGGCCTCTATCATTCCAGGTTTTCCTGAGGTCCAATGTGCTATTGCACATTAACTCAGTCCTAAGGAGGATTTATTCATCTACTAGTCAAGGTAACTATATATATTTTATTTTCTGTTTTACAACAGCAAGACCAAATTGCTTTGAGGGGCTATTAAAAATAGTACCATAAGATCCCTCAGAACATCAACATAGATTTTTCTCTGAAATAAAATCTAGGGATCACTGGGGGAATACCAGGACAGGAAAATATAAAGGATTGTTCCTTTTCAGCAAGGAAACTAGATAAGGTGCTGAAACATTTATAGTTGCAGGATAAGTAGGATAGCACCACTAGCTACAGCCTGCAAGGATTCCTCACAGGATACAGGAAACACTAAGACAAGATTTAAATCACTAAAAAGATAGAGATACAGAGTAGGAGAAGGTAATTAGATGCCCATAGAGATGAAAGCAGTTTTTCATCAAATAAAATAGATATTGCTGTTTGGAGAAATCAAAGCATATTTGCTGAAGGTAACTGCTGACAACAAATTTCTTTGAATTATATAAGGTGCTTGAATTCCTTGCATGTGTGAGCCCAATCAAAAAATGCTGGTAAATACAGACCAGAAGAGTACCCACGATAAATGTATTAAGAGCTGTTTACTGCATTTTCTAAAATCTCTCTGGTTTTCACATACAAAAGCTTTATATGTTTAGAAAATGCAAAAGCTTCACAGCGGCAGTTAATATAAAACAAAACTAAGGAGCCCTTGAGCAAGCAATAAACACACATCTGATGTCTGGAAACTCAGGTAGTTAAAAATGGAAGCTAATGACATAAAAAAATATTCCAACCATCTTACAAATAAATTAAATATTTGTAGTAGTAGAGGTCCTTCTCTAGTTCAAGATGGTAATATTGTCAGTGAGTGGAAATAAGGAATCTTTATTCTACACAACTGTTCCTTGTGTGGTTGGAATAAAATTGATTCAGCAGGACAAGAATCCTACTGACTATATATATCCTTCCTGAAAAAAAATGTATTCCCACCCACTTCAGAAAGAAGCGCACTATATTAATAAAGTAGAAATCTTTATAAGTGCTGATCTTTCAGCATAACCTCTTACCTTCACACCATTTTTCTTTTGTTTCAAACTTATGTATGATAGAAAGTATCTGATATGTTGTATTAAAGTCTATTTGAATTGCAGCATTGCTATGACAAAAAAATAGAGAATACAGAATGTTCAAAGCTTACTGCTGATTGTATGTTAAAACTCACTACAATGTTTGTATTTACCAAAGCTATTAATATACTGATGGTGTAAATCTACTATATTTTGTATTGAAAAAAAGCTAAAATATGAAGACCCCCCCCTTTATAATTAAAGTTTTCATTTTCAGCATTTAGAAGACTGTTCTCATATTTTTGTTCTCTTTTAAAATACCATGAACTTTCAGAATTGTCAGTTAAGAGAGCAGTTAATATTTTCTTAATAGAGCATGCAAACCCTAAAAGATATACTGGTGCTTTTTTGCATTAAAAAAACCAAGAGAAGGAGTCATGCTTCAAATAAGAAATCAAACAATAATTCTCTCTGAAGGAACACCACTCTGTGGATGCCAGAGTGGACCTGTACAAACGTATCACAGGTATTATCTGTACACAGTATCTATATACTATCTAATACACAGGTATTATCTAAGACAAGGTGTTCTTAAAAATTCTAGACAGGTTTATAAACATCTAATGAGTATTTATTGATGGATGGTCTGCTTTCCACCCAACTGCTACCAAATGTGAATACTTCTGTTTTGTTCTTAATGCTTTCCATACAATTTCTTTTTTACTTAATATTCAGAAGAGATGCCTAGTATAATATGTGTTGTAATAGAATCATAAACCATGTAAGTTGGAAAAGACTTTTAAGATCATTGAGTCCAACCATTAACAATCTTGTCCCTTTTTTGCAAAATTGTTGCTGTCAGTGAGAGAGAGGAAGAAAAAAAAAAGAAAAAAGTAGGTCTTTAAGTTGTATGCTATTGGGTCAAAATGACGTCTCAAAATGGTGAAAACCTGTAGGGTACCAGAAGAACAGTGAATAATCTAAGTTTAATATCCAGCGGAGAAGTTGTTGGTAAGAACACCTCTTCCAAAGAGCCTTTCATGTGTCATAGAACTGATGCATAGGACTATTTGCAGGTCAGCAGTAATGGTTCATTAGCAATGTTCTTGTTGGGAAGACAAGCAGAGAGATAAGACTTTGCAGTGGATCCTCCATTATTAGCCAGTGCATTCATAAATTTGATCTTGACTTCATGCAACGTTCGACAATGTGATTCATTGTTATTGGAGGTGCTTCAGCAGCTGAAATCTGTGATGACTTACTGTTACCAGCACCACTGCATGACATGTAATTCCACTTTTGCTGTGAGATAATGAAACATGTTGGGACCAAATTAATCCTTTACTGATGACCAGTAACTGAAAGGCTTATAGCAGGAACAAAGAGCTGAGTAAAGGAAAAAGTCCCAAATAAAAGAAAGTATGTAAAAGTAAGAGTTTTCAGCAAAAGCACCATCGCATAGAAACACTTTACACATACATATAATCTACTCCACACCTCTTCTATCATGTGTTGAACCTGAAGCCTCAGTACTGCCTCAATATCTAAAGCCTTTTGACTGCACTAAGAAAGAAAAGGGTCCAGACCTTGCAGCAATGAACCTGCTTCTCAGCAAAGATTTTGATTAACATTTTTATTTCAGCTTAAAAAAAAAAAAAAAAAAAAAAGATATAAAATCTAAACCTTTTGCCAGTCTTGCTATGGCAACATGTAGAGAGGTTTCCATATTTCTGATGTTTGGTTAATGACCAGGAAGACCTGAGGGGGCACTCATTTTCCGGTACCTTGGAAAGAAAGTATTTAATCTCCCTGAGGGATTGCTAGCAGATTCACTTGGAAGCCCTTCTCAATGTGACATATGGATATGCTAATATATTGCAACTCAACACCACATTCTTAGTTGCTGGGAACAATCATCTTTATTCATTCCAGCACCTAATGGATTGATCAATAATATTTTAATAAAGCCTGCTGTAAGTAATATTTAATTCAAATAAGATTTTGTATTGTATTTCGATTAAATTACACTTTCTGATGTTCTTTACTGTCAATTTCTGCTTTGCTCTTCATTCATACATTTTCGTTTCATAAATGCATGTGTGACCCTCGGGGCTCTCCATACTTTTTCTAATATTCCTGTAATG